TGCATTCATGACCCCAGCATAATGACCCCTGCGCTGGGTCATTGATTGCTCTTACTAGTATATGTGCCCTCACCAGGGATAGAATCCTCAACCTGTATGAGGACAATGCGATGTTCCAACCAACGGAGCCACCCAGCCAGAGCAACTCGAAGCTTTTTTATGGGCCAGTCCTTTGAACACTAATTTTTATAAAGTAATATCACACCTTTCTGGAAACCATAATAACAGAATTTTTTAAAATTGTAAATAAAATGACAAGTGATATCAGAATTGGGGTGACCACTTAATCTCGAAGGAGAGAGTGTTTTCCAACATGAGCAGGCATATGCACTGCATTAGCCTCCATCATTGGGTGTATTAGGAGTTCCCAGGCCGGCCTCCTGGTGCCGACCACAGGCCGAATTCTTACACTGAAGGGGCAGAAACAGGAGGCAGAATAACCAACCCCATACACCTCAGCTCAGGCCTGCTGTCCTTGGTCTGTGTTGTGAATGGGGAGACAGTGAGTATAAAGAAAAAGGAGCCCTGACCAGTTTGCTCAGTGGATAGAGTGTTGGCCTGCGGACTCAAGGGTCCCAGGTTCGATTCCGGTCAAGGGCATGTACCTTGGCTGTGGGCACATCCCCAGTGGGGGGCGTGCAGGAGGCAGCTGATCGATGTTTCTCTCTCTTAGATGTTTCTAACTCTCTATCCCTCTCCCTCTCTGTAAAAAATCAATAAAAATATATATTAAAAAAAAGAGTTTTCAGGACTATCTCAAATTTATTTAAGCTTTTTTTGTTGTTTTATATCAGTTAAAATAGGAATTCAATTGCCTTAGGCCGCAGTGGTTCTCAACCTTCCTAATGCCACGACCCTTTAATATACAGTTCCTCATGTTGTGGTGACCCCCAATTTCATTGTTACAAATTGAACATAATTAAAGCATAGTGATTAATTACAAAAACAATATGTAATTGTATATGTGTTTTCCGATGGTCTTAGGCGACCCCTGTGAAAGGGTTGTTCGACCCCCAAAGGGGTCGCGACCCACAGGTTGAGAACCGCTGCCTTAGGGGTAGCATAGCCTTTTTAAAAAGAAAAACTTTTAAAAACTTGTGGTAAAATACACATAATAATAGTTCAACATCTCAACCATTTTTAAGCGTACAGTTTAGTGAAATTAGGTACATTCATGCTGTGTGCAGTATCAGAGCTCTTTCATTTTCAAAATCCTCTTGGAATACGCCGAAACCCTGTTCTGACAGGAATTTCCTTGCAGCGTGAAGCTCACTGAGAATCTGGCATCTCAGCTATGGCTGTGCTGAGGGGCCCTGTGCAGGTTGGGGCCGCAGGGTCCCGCTTCCTACTGTGGGGGCAAAGGAACCGGGGCCTCGAGCTGCTGACCTCGAGCCCCACGGTGAGGGCAGAGGGCGGGCTCTCCCGGTGTCACAGGTCACAAGTCAAAACCAGGTCCTACCTAGCGGGACCCTGCTGTGCCCTCGGAGACGTCACTATTGTCTTTGTTTTTAAACAAGGCGCACAGATCAACGGTGCTCCGCCCTGGGCTGACCCCAGATCATGAGACCCTCCGGTTCGGTCCCGGCTCCGGAACCGAGAACACTCCAAGAAGAAACTGAATTAGAACTTCCCGACCCAGGGGGAGGACTCGGACCCGGCTGCGGAGCTGCGGGTGGATGCCACACCCACAGGGAGAGGATTCTACTCCGAGCCCATGTCCTGGGCTGTAATCAGCCCAGAGTGTCCCGACGGACTGTCACTCCGGCGTAGGGGCGGGGCCTGAGAGAACTGTCCAATCAGAGCTATGAGGGCGGTGCATAGGGAACAATCAGGATGCAGGGGCGGATCCCGGAGAACTGTCCAATCAGAGGTTCCAGGGCGGGTCTCGAGTACTGTCTCGTCAGAGGCCCACGGATGTGGGCGTGCCCGAACACCGTCCACTCAAGACGCAGGGTCCCGAACAACCTCCAATCAGAGATCCCGGGGAAGGAAGAGGGCGTGGACGTCGCTCTCAGCAGATTGCGGCGTTGGTGCGCACCTGCCCCGCGCAGCCCCAGGTAGCTCGCACCTGCCAGGGCCAAGGAGAGGACGGCTTGAGAGCCCGGAGATGGTGAGTACGTAGGGCCGGGCCGAGACTCGGAGGGGCTGGAAGCGGCGGCGGGCCGGATCTCCCCGCACGCCCCGGGGTCCCGACCCGAGTCTCCTCTTCGGCACGGGGTGGAGCCCTGGAGTCCTGTCCGGCCCCTGCGCTGGGTCCTGGGTCTCAGAATCTCAGAATCTGGGCTTCGGGCGACTCAGATGCACATTGCGGCATCCACCCGGGGTGGGGGGGGGAGGGGCGGGGAATATCAGCCCCTGATCTGCTCCTCTCAGCGGACAGCCAACGCGATGGGCGGGGAGTCTGGGGAGACCTGGGTGTGGGCCCCAAATTGGGACGGATCTACTGATCCCGACCCCAGTTAGTAATCCTTGGAGAACTGACAGGACTCTGGTATCTAGGAGAAAGATGGAAATGATTCGGGCCCCTGAAGGGAGAGAAACTAACCCAGAAGACTGGGAAAGCTCACCCAGTGAGGTGTGGCAGTCACCTGCAAAGCCACCTGTACTTGGGACGCACTGTGTCCTTTGTTCCGGGAGCACATCCGGTCACAGTGCGGGAAGGGTCTCCCACGTGATAGGATGGCTCATTGAAATCTTGAGTTTGAAGTCATCTACGTTTATGTTCCAGTTCAGCACTGCCCCTACCTGGGCTTGTCCCCTTGATAAGATGTACGTATTGACTTATTGGAGCCTCAGTTTTTCAGCAAAAATATAAAATACTTTTAATTAATAGAGCAGGAAAGTTAATATTTCCTAAGAGATGAATTTCATGGGGCGGGGGTGGGGGGTGGGGGGAGAGTTTCTTTCCATTTGTTAAACCTTCTTCGGTTCCTTTGAGTGATATAAGAAAAGGAATTCCAGGGCTTAGCCTTGAAAGTCCTACTGGGGAAATGACTGTCAGAGAAACAGAAAACCCCTTCTGTTAGGGTCGCTGAAGGAGGAACGCACGAGGCCAAAATGGGTAAAAATTTTAAATTTATTATTACATCTGCTGGCAGGAGGGCTGAGACCAAACAGCATCAGCGGGGCAGAGTAGGGAGAGCAGGATATTATGTCACTTGTAAGGGTCAGAGTTACCGGTGGGACCAGGTGCAGGTGGGGGCCAGGTGGAGGCGGTCCCCTGGAAACTGGGTGAGGTGGTTTACTGGAAGAGTAAGGCCGCTAATCATGAGACCTAGAATGAGAATAACAGGACAGTTGTGGGGAGGGGCAAGAGCCCCAAGCAGAGTATAATGGAGTGCAAGAATGTGCCTAACACCTCCCAATATGGCAGCAGAGAAATGAATACATTTCCACATAGTGTGGTAGGTGAATTGGTCAATTATAGAGATTCACCAAAATATCAGTTCTTTTCCTGGGCTGGGTGGAGAATTTGTGACAGTAGGTAAACTGTTGTTTACTATTATTGGTAACTAGAGGCCCGATGCATGAAGATTTGTGCAAGAATGGGCCTTCCTTCCCCTGGCTGCCAGCACCGCCTTTGCTTGGCCTGAAGCTGCCTTTCCACCTTCCCAGGCTGGGGCGGTGCAAAGCCTGTGTCGTTGCCATGGTGACGAGGCAAGCATCCTGCCCTGCCCTGGCAGCTGGGCGCCTGCATATGCAAATTAACCCGCCATCTTTGTTGGGTTAATTTGCATACTCACTCCTGATTGGCTGATGGGCTTCGCAAAGGTGTGGTCAATTTGCATCTTTCTCTTTTATTAGTGTAGATACATTTTGCTTTAATCTACAGTGAATTGATATTGTCTATGGAAGAGATGGGAGTAAAGCATCTTTGTTATTTAGATAACTTTTTGTCACTGTCTCATATATTAGTTTTTAATTTCTGCCACTGTTTTGTGGCTGCCCTGTTGTGAACTAATAGACAAGTGCCCACTTCAAGTTGTTCCTTTCCATGGATTTAGTTGTCCATTCCTCTTCTAATTCCATCATGTCAGGATTACTATGGCTTTAAAATCCTTGCTTTGTGATAAGCAGGCCCCTGCCTTGTTCTTCAGAACATTTTGGCTCTTTTTGTTCTTCCTGTTAGGTTTATAAAATTAGTATTTTTCAAGTCCTAAAAAAAAAAATCTTGCTTGGGGATTTAATGGAATTTTTTGAAGATTTTAGGCCTTTTTTGGAGGGTTATTTTGCTAATACTGAATGCTCCATTTTAAGAACATGTGCAATCTTTTCATTTATTTCATTTATTTTGTTATTTTTCTTAATGTTTAAAAATGTTTCCACTTGGTTATTTTGATAGCCTTCTTTAGACTTGATTAGTACTAATTTTTAAAAAAATTTTATATTGAATTTTTATTCTTGTTAAAAATCTTATTCTGTGATTACTTTTTTGTTCTGTTGGTGTCCTACACATACAATTGGTAGAGGTTGGCATAAAGATAAGGGTTTTTTTTTCTCTTTTAGTTCTTGTACACTTTTTTTCTGCTGGGTCTGGATTGAGTCCCTAGTATGTTGACCAGGAGGGAGGTCCTGACCATACTTGTTTGTCCCTAATTGTTTGGAGAAAACAACATCATACCATTTATATGTTCTTTGTTATTTTTTTTTAATATTCTATTATCAGTTTTCCTTTATCAGGTTATGTACATTACCACCTATTCCCCAATGGTGAGATGTATGAATGTTGAATATTATAAAATAGTTTCAGCAGTTCCTAACATGATTATAGGCAAATCATATGAATTGATTTTAGAGTTTTCTATTGTATAAGATAATATCAAGCCGAAACCGGTTTGGCTCAGTGGATAGAGCGTCAGCCTGCGGACTGAAGGGTCCCAGGTTCGATTCCGGTCAAGGGCATGTACCTGGGTTGCGGGCACATCCCCAGTGGGAGGTGTGCAGGAGGCAGCTGATCGATGTTTCTCTCTCATCGATGTTTCTAACTCTCTATCTCTCTCCCTTCCTTTCTGTAGAAATCAATAAAATATACTTTAAAAAAAAAAGATAATATCAGTGTAGGAAAATGTATATGACATATGTACAGTCGACAAACATTAAAAAATAATCATCTGTGAAATGAAATTCAGCCCTAAATGTGGAACAAGCTTTCACACCAGATGTCCCACTTGAAATGAACCCCAATGGCAGGTTCTCTCACTCTGATGTGTGTAACCAATATGTTGACTCATGAAGATACATATATATATGTGTGTATATAATACGTATATGTAATATACATATATATTTTTAAACAATTTAGGTATCACTCTGCAGTGTTATTTCAAAGGGTTATTTTATTGTTCTTTACCTTGCAACCAGTCATTCATATTTATATTGATACTGATATCTACACACATACACAAATGAACATGTAAAGATCTATATCTCCCTCCTGATCCCCTCACTGTGCCACATTTTCCTTAGTACTTATATTTAATTTGCTCATTTATTGTTTTCCTTTGA